TCCCAGTGGACTTGACTCTCAAACCAGAGCAAATCTCTCTATATATATATATCTAAAGCAATGAAACACATCTTTAGTTGTTAGGAAGTTTCTAAATTTTATTGACTGAGAACACGCCAGATTTAGGAGTTGTTGCTCAACTCTGGTTCTTAACTTGTATCCATCTTCTGTGACTTTGCTATCTTAGATAATGCTATCTTGATATATTTATGTTAAATGGTTTTAATGATGAATATTTATTTTATTTTATTTTAAGTACCAATATCATAAAATCATAAAAGTAGAAGGTAAGTAAAAATAACTATTTTACTATTACTAGTTCACTATTTTATCAAATCTTCTTGAAAATAGAGACTGATAAATCCAAATTTTAAACCTCTAGTTCTAAGTTCAGTACCGAATTTAATGTACTTGTTCTATCTATTCTTATTGCATCAATGGCAGAATTCATTAAAAATGTGTTGCATTTTATCCTATTGACACTTTATCTAAAATGCCAGTTTTCCTCTCCTCTTTAAAATAAAATCTCCAGAAAACTCAAGGCTAATCTTGTACTCTTCTGTTCCACCCTGGTCCTGTCAGTCATTCTCACAACACAACACACGAATATTGACTGCCTGATATTTAACATACAAGTGTTTTATGAAAAATTATAACACTGTAGTGAATAATATCAGGACCTTGGGGTAAGATTGGAGAAGGTTCTAATCCCAGATCAACAGCTATGTAGCATTGTGACTTTGAGCAACTGATAGGGTATCACTGACTATCGGTTTCTTCATCCATAAAAGGATTTGAATACAGTTTGCAGGACTGCTATGTGATTTAAATAACATATATATATTAAAAATGTTTAATTTCTAAGTGTCGGCTCTCAAAAAATGGCAACTTAAAAAATCTTTCATAGTATTTAGTACAACTACAGAAATATGATAAGCAATCTAAAAATATGTGAGTTGGCTTATTAAAATGCCTGAATTTAAACAAAAGCTAAAGTAAATGTTCATTTGACTCTGTGGAGAATATGAAGAATTGTCTCCAATGTCTCAATGAATTGCTCATGCAATAGCATGCTTTGATGTGTGTCAACCCTGTACTCGGTCCCCAAATGCTCTGTGCATGTTTGTTCTATTCCTGGAGTCTACAGCTGTACATATTGGAGATTGCACAAACATTCTGCCTCGGTTCAAAGGCACTGGACTTTTGTAAGGATGAGTAAACTGCATGTACTATTGATGTCGTGTTTAGCTCTTATAGCAGTTCCCTAGTCACGTAATAGCTCCGCTTTTTGATTCTCTACCTGCATGAATGGGTTTGGGCTGCTGTAATTCTACATAGGGCAGATCGCCATGGGCAATTTGAATGAGATGTGTAAAAAGTGGGAAAGGGAACATATCCAAACCCCTTATGAACTAAAACAATACATATCTTTAGTAGTTCTGGACAAAATTAATGTTCTGCCCTTAAAAAGTAGGCCAAGAGGAAACACCATAGACCTGACTCTGCCCAAGTCAGGCAAGAGTAAGTGAGCAATGTAAATCAGAGTGATCAAAGAGTGTCACTTGAAAAGAACAGCAGAACTCGATGTGTGCCTCCATACGCCATCCTCAGCAGCTGGCCGTGGTGCTGAACTTCTCTATTCTTAGCCTGAATCTCTGAATTGTAAAGTCACTGATTAGGAAATGAACACGCAAAGCAGATGGATAATTGGCACTAAACAAACACTCCTAGAGTGTCCATGTCAGCTGGAGAAGGAAAATCTAAAACTCTCCCCATCATTGGACCAACACTATTCTTTAATCCGTTAACTTTACTTGTCTCTCTCTCTCATTCTCTCTCTCTCTTTCTCCCTCTTTCTCTCTCTCTCCTGACTTTAAAAAAATAAACATGATTGTGAATGACATGAATTCTTCTCACTTTGGTGACTATATGGCAAAAAGGAGAGAATATGGGTTTTAAATAATATTTTAAATGTTTACATAAATAAAAAATTAAAATATACTAAAATGTTAATAAGAGAGAGAGAGAGGACTGGGTTGTAGGATTTTGATTTTTCCTTTTATTTCATATTTTGCTTTTCTTTTTTTTCCCAGTTTTCTAAAAGTGATATATTTTGTAATCTAAAAATAATTATACAAACACTGGATAGATAAAAGGAGATGCTAGTAGTGGCTATACTAATCACTATCTGTGTAAATTGGATACGTTATTTATCATCTTTGAACCTAATTTTTTATGTCTGTAAATGAGGCCTAATATTTACTTACATCACAGGGCATCTTTGAAGACTGGACAGGATACTAACGCATCATGGGTAGTCTGTAAATCTACCCTTTTGTGGGAGAGAATAGGGGCTCGTGGAGAAGTCAAGAGTGCAGGTTTGGGGATGAGCAAGCCTGATGGGAATAATATCTGTCTCAGGCTCTGAGATTCAAGGTGAAAACTTCTTTTCCAGTATATTCAATTTGCCCCAAGTAATTTAGGCTCATGCTCTCCTAGATACTGGAGATACAGCAATGAACAAGGTACTGTCCTTGCGCTTGTGGACACTGCATCACAGATCTTCCATTATGGGCAAATCAAAGCTCTTATCACTCCCCTTTACTTGGTGCTTCCAGAGATCTGCTGACTGTAACTGAAGCAGGAAGTGCTAAAGTATTTGTGGCTATGTTCCTCTACAGGAGGAACCTGGAAATCTGTGCTATTTAACAAGTGTCCTGGGTGACTGCTTAAATACAGAAAAAACTCAACTATGGTAAACTGATAGAAAAGTGAGAGCTGCATAAGCAGATTTTTAAAATAAAGACATTTCCAAACTGTGCAGGATACTGAAAAGCTATTCTTACCATTTAATCATTCACTAAGTGAGGTTTCACTTTATCTCCAGCACAGTTGGCAATATGGAGCAGATAGGAACTGGGAAGAAAGACTTACTCTTCCATCTATTTATCCGAGCAAGGCATTGGTCCGATTCAACTTAATACATCCATCTCTTTTCAGAAATGCCAGCATAGTGCAGAGTGGGGCATTCATACATTGTTTGAGTAAATGAGTGATATTGAGCTTCTATTTTTAATATTTGGCCATTTTTACACATTACCATACAAAATTCAATTATGATGTTTTGGGTTGTTATGCTCTGCAAGATAGCTGTTATTGGGCAACCCCCTCGGGTACCCTCCTACTGTGGGAGCTTTTCTGTCCTCAATAAATTCTGCTTTCTCAAAAAAAATAGTTATTATTAGCCCTGGATTATAAGTAAGAAAACTGAGGCTCAGAGGACATTCTCTGTGATAAATAGCATAATAAATAAATAAATTATAACATGATTTGATTGCACATGTATGCAATCAAAAAAAGATATGTTGCATGACCACAGCTATTCTATTTCTGTTATGCTACACTATGAGTCAGTCTGGCTTGCAGCATTGGATTTTGCATGCTTTGGATCAGAAAAGGCATATCCAAATTATGAATCTAAATGGTAGTAACTGGGAAATCCCATAATGTTCCCAGCAGAAGATGCCTGCTTTGCTACTAACAAGTAACACTGGCTTCATGCACAATTCACAACGCTGTGTGAGCCACTTGTAATTGGAGAGCGCAAATCCATTCATCCTTTCTCTTTCTTGAAATCTGAAGGCCAGATAAGAACCTGATGCACATCCGTATCTGGACACCCAACTTTCAGAGAATTCACTGACATATTGCTGCTTTGGGCACGTTGATACAAACAATTAGCTTAACAATAAACCGTCTTACAATTCTCTTCTGCGTGACATGCTGCTTCTAAAGACGTCTCTGGTGTCTGTTTAATCTAATACACTAGGTGCCAATTTTATGAGTTTAACTCTGAAATCTGGATGTTCTTCCTGTTGCCCTTGTCCATATTCACCATGGGGGCTAAGAGATCCTCAGAAATGCCTCAAAATAAAGATTGGCTTTGGAGGTGAGTCTGCACTCATCATCATTTTATGTCTTTCCTGCTGACTGCTAAAATATATTTGGCTGTGTTTTGTCCCCAGTCTTCCATGCAACTTGAAGTCACAAATGACATTCTTCCATGTCTTTCACTCTTTGCTGTTTTATAGGAGATACTAAAAGATAATTCTTTTATCTTCCCCTGAATATCAATAATTAATTAATTAAAAATATCAGGTGAGTCAGGCAGGGAGTCCTTCCTATAAAACACCACCGCATGCTTTTTCCTTAGCTGGTTCCCCTCCCTCCCACCACAGTCTCTCTCTTCCTCTTCCTCCTCCTCCTCTTTTTCTTCTTCTTCTTTTCTACATAAGAGGTTTTTAAATTTGCATCCTTGAGAACTGTGTCCCTGCCTTCTGCACTTGGCTCGCCCTTTTTTTTAAGGGTCTTTGATCACATACAGGAAGCTGAGTCCCTCTCCCTCTTTCCCCAGAATAGGAAGTTGGTGACAATGATTGCATACCTGCCTGTGGCAAGACAGACCCTGATGGACGCCAACCCACAACAGAAGGCATGCATCCTAACTATGCAGGAGAGAGGCAGGAGGGCATTCTGCACTCATTTCCCTGGCATTTGGTAAGGCCGAGGCTCGTTTCACACAGCCAGGGCAATTAAGAAAAAATTTCCCTTAAAAAGACATGAGAATGTCCATATAATTTTACCTCTCACAAATATGACCTCCCCATCCACCCAGAAAATAACTCAGAACAATTGTGAGCCAGCCTCCTTACATTATATGTGCGTATAAGCTTGTTCAAGTTTCTTTGCTGTTTGAGTTACTAGGAGAAACACAGAAATGAAGAAGTCATGAGATAAATAACTACATATCAATGAGCTTGCCACACTTCCTACCTCTCAATAGGCTCATGTGGTCAAAGAGTGCTGTCTATATCTTAAACATTTCAAAATATGGGACTTCTCTTACTCCACCATATCACTTAGGTTGGAACTGTGACCTACTGGGTAAAGGAGTTCCCCATTAGCCAACACAGGAAAGGAAGGGTGAAGACTGAACCTACCCAAGTTGAGGTGCAGGGCAAGCCTCCCCTTCTGGAGCTCCAAGGTGATGTGGTCTCCACGCTGACCTTCTCCGTGGAACAAGACTCCATCTCCTTGCATGCTCTTGAACTTCAGGGAGATCACATCTTTCAGAGTACTCATGAGCTTCTGATTGAACCTGTACAGAAGCGAGCTTCGGCCGTCAAAGTCAGCGACATCCGATTCTAGGCACAAAGAGACGGAGAGAGAAAAGGATCAGCGTAGAGCCTCATGACTGCTGCTTCTGTTTCCCATCTGAGTTGTTGTCCAGTTCACAGAAACATTCTTGAGATCAAGAAGGTGTGCTCTCAACAGGAAACACACAGACTAGGACCAAAGCTAATGAGACTCTGAGAAAATGTTCATTCACAAGCAATGACCACTCACCAAGTCAAAGTGAACTGATCATCAGCTTAGAAGTAAAAACTCTCATTAATGACAGGGTAAGGATACCACAGATCTCTGTGTCAGACTTTACTGTGTCAGATGTCTGGCTTACAACATTCTCTCATGATTTAGCCTCCTAATCAATTTGCTTCTGACAGTTGGAACCACTTGATCTCCTCATCTCAGAATCAAGGTCTGAGAGGAAAATAAATACAATCTTTATGCTAACTCTATTTGCAAAGTACTATCTTTCTAGAAATCTGTGTTGAGAAGGATTCTGAGGCTTTCCAATGTTCCGTGGAAAACAAAAATTTTGTAAAGCAGTAGTCCCCAACCTTTTTGGCATTAGGGACCAGTTTGGTGGAAGACAATTTTTCATGGGGGGTGAGGAGACTGGTTTCAGAATGATTCAAGTACATGACATTTATTGTGCACTTTATTTCTATTATGACTACATTGTAATATATAGTGAAATAATTATAGAACTCACCATTAAAAAAAGAGGTGCGGACAGAAGTGGTAAATAAGATAATAGGCGGGACATGTACAGATTAAAATGTGCTTAAAGCCTGCCACCAGGTATAGCTGTACAATCGAAATACATCAACTCCCTGGTCACTCCCTGAGAGGGTTTTGATATGATTATGGTCTCTGTGCAGTCAAACCTCACTGCTCATGTCAACCTGTATTTGCAGCGATCATCAGGCATTGGATTCTCATAAGGAGCACACAACCTAGATCCTTCATATGTACCATTCACAACAGAGTTTGCGCTCCTAAGAGAAACTAACGTCACTGCTGATTTGCCAGGAGGTGGAGCTCGAGCAGCAATGCAAGCGATGGGGAGTGGCAGTAAATACAGAAGAATCTTCGCTGGCTCGCCTGCCCCTCACCTCCTGCTGTGCGGTCTGGTTCCTAACAGGTCACAGACAGGCACCTGCCTGGGACCTGGGGGTTTGGATTCCTCTTGTAAAGGAAGGTTTGTTATTTGGACAGAGTGGGCACATACATTGCATCCTTGTCATCAATGCTTTATTCGTGCTGGTGATACCTACCATGTGTTTTATTCAAACATCCATTATTATTAAAGCAAAAAAGAAAAGGTAGCGTAATCCTGATTGGGATAAATTTATGTAGCAGATGTTAATAAACACATTTGACAAATGTATGCCAAGGAGCGAATAAGGACTGCATTTGGAATTTGCTGTTGTTGATTATTGTCACATTTTTCCATTCTTTATTGCAAAAAGTTTTATGATACTCCCTTATAATAGGAAAAATGCAAGACTAGTTATAAATGAAAACATTCGTTATATACCATCTTCTGTGGGTGGGTGGTGGTGAATGGGTAAATGGAGGGAGTGGGCCTATTCTATTCATCATCCAGTACCCAAGAAACTCAATTTTTCGTTATTCACCAAGCAATGAAATCCTCAGCTTGAGCATACACAATGATAAATTAAGTTTTGTGTGCGATTTTTTAACTAGGGATCTAGAAACATCCTTTGTAAATCTGAAATTCTGAAATAAAAAGGGAAATGAAATCATACTTTTCTGTATTTAGTTTTGAAACACAATTTCACAACTTACATGGAATAAAGTGGTTCTAACCAAAAAGTTCAGATTTACTTAGACTGTAAAAAGAAACTGTCCATAAACAGAGATTTCCACACATGCCCACCTTTCTCAGAACCTTCTCACTCCACTCTAGCAGTGCACCTATGCCCGTGGTCTGAACTAGAATTCTACCCAAAGCCACAAGAGGCTACAGACAGCTGCCATCAATCCTAAAATAATGAAGATCATGGTATAGATAAGATAAGGATTTTAAGCTGCGATGGCCATAGCTTGTTAGCTGGGTCACCTTGGGTGATTTTATCTCTCTAAGACTTGATTTCCTTATCTATAAAACGAGGATCATATGCTAAACACTCTTTGGAATACTTCCATATGTCCCTGGATCAGATTCCGAAGCAGGAACAGGCCCCAGGTAGGCACTTTAGTGCCCAGGTGTGAGTAGAATGTTCACACAGTGTCCCCCAGGACATCTAAAGGCAAGTGGAAGGATAATGCCTGCACATGGGAGGCTGACCCAGTTCAAAGAGAACAGATTCAGAGAGGGTTTCTTAGAGGAAGCAGGGGGTACAGTGGTCTTCAATAACACATAGGAGATACCCCAGGGAAGGGAGAGACCCAGCGTCTCCAGGAGGGAGACAAGAGGCATGAGATGCTTTGTGTGTCACAGGACTGCAGGATGCCAGCATGGTGAAGTAGGGAATGGACAGAAAGCTCTCTGCTTCCCAGTGTGGTTATTTTCTGCAGTCTGAGACACACAGCACACGATGTGTTAAGCAGTAAGTCAATTCACGTTGATTCATGGAAACATTTGTTCCACCCCCTCAGGCAGATACAGCCTGCGAACTTTGAGTGCCCTGGCACCGGGCACATCCCTGTCTTTTTTGCTCGCCACATGCCACGTCAGAATCACTGTCCACAAGTTGTATATATCATGTCCACTCACACCACCCCGGAGCTCTGACCCCCTGAGTAACACCAGCACGTGGCACAGAGTTGGACACAGGGCAGGCAGTGCCCTGTGTGGGGGGAAGGGAAGCAGCATGGAGGATACGTGCCTTTTGTTTCCTGGGAGTTACATTAAACTAAGAGAGAAGTTCTACTGTGGACCAAATGTCTGACTGCAGGGAAGTTTATGGCAAAGCTATTGGCTTCACGTTCCTTTCTTGCGAAGTTGTGCATAACAATGTAATACGTATACTTACAACTGATGCTAAGATTGCAATAAGAAAGTTTGTGTTAAAATGTATATATATGTATACGTATTTATTTTTCTTCAACAAACAGTGGCTATGAAGTATACATACATATATTCATCATGGTGCCGCTATTCCAGCCACCCTTCTTCATTTTATAATGGCACACTGTGAAGTCTTTAGCCACCAGGAATCTTCATAAAGCCCTGAGGTCTTCAGTCAAGTCCTGAGTTCCAAACCTTTCCTCTCTCCAGTCCACTATATTCTCTCTCCTCCCTTCCCATCCATCACAGCGGTTAGGATCAGCATCCCATTCCTCAAATATCTGGCTCTTCTAGTGACTTAACTTATGATACAAGGGTTGATGACATTTTAGCTTCCAACACTCTACCTCTAAGAAAGCACATCTCTATGTTGTCAGAAGACTGAAGGAAAATTGATTCCATCAATTGAAAACCCCAAAAAAGTATGTGCATATATTTACATATATACATACGATAATACTAAATATACATATACATATATATGTGATATGTGTGTACATATAGACATAGATATACATACATATATATATACACACACATATCCATATATATATGCGAGGGACAGAGAAAGAGAGAGTCTAGCAGATCTGGGTTTCTGGGTTTGAATTCTGGTTTTGCCGCTTACTAAGTGGGAGGCTTGAGGTGACTTTCCTGATATCTCTGAGCTTCAGTTCTTCTGTCTGTACAATAGGCTTAGATTTATAGAATTCTACTCTCAAAGTCATTGTGAAAATGACATAAGCTCACACCTGAAAATACATAGGCACTGAATCCCATTTCGTCCCCTCATTTCATCATGAATCCAACGGAATTACTCAGTGGCGAAGATTTCAGCCACGGGATGAAGATGGGATCAAGAATATGATATGAAGACATTGTTTGCGTCTGGGAGTCCGTAGCCTTCACGTTACATCGAGCAGGGGTGCGCTTGAGCCCTCGTCCTCATAGTCTGCCTCCCACATTCTTAAAATAGCCTCAAAACTGCCCTCCCGGATTCAACTTTTGGCACCTCCCCCGACATAGTCTCTCATCTTCATAAAATATAAGAAACGTCATCCCTCACCCTTGCTGAAGTTCTTTAGGGAACTTCCTGTACGCTAAGAATTAAATTTAATCTTGAAGACTGCCCCCATCATCCAGCTCTGTCCACCTCTCTCACCTCATTCTCTTTTTCTCTTCCCAGCCCTCACTCTGCTTCAGGCATGCTGTGACTTCCGTGTGTGTGTGTGTGTGTGTGTACATGTGCATGTGTGACTGCGGCTAGGACAATGTGTACAAAACCCACGCCATGAGCCCTGTAAGTATTACTTGTACACGAGCACATTTCATCATAATTGGCCCCTTGAGGAAGTTGTTACTGTGATTCCCATATTACAAATGAGGAACCAAGGCATACAGAGACAAAGGATGTAGGGAGTAAACGCCAGAGCCGGGATTCAAGCCTACCCCATCTGCCCACCCTGTACTCAGTGAGCTGAGCTCTTTCGCAAACGCTGCACCCTCTGACCACGATTCTGAGATGCTCAGCTCAGTCCATCAGGTTCATCCGATAATTATACATACGATAATATGTCCCCAAAAGCGTCCCTTTGCCAGTCCCCCTCTAAGTGTCCTGTCATTTCCTTCGCAATTCACCTCACAATTGGAACTAGATACTGTTGGCTTCCTGATTCGTTCATTGGCCAACATGTCAGTGCGTCTCATGAGGACAAGCATTAGAAATGTATTGTGTGCCACATTCACACGTGAGAAATGAGCAAGTGACCCCTCGTGGTGCTTAGGCCAGAGTGTGATGCTACCTGCCTGTCCTCTGGCTTCACGCCACATCCCCTGCCCCATCCTTCAGAACGGACTGCCCACTCACAGTTGAGAGGGTCGAGTTCTTCCGTGTCTGCTCGGCCACTGGAGCTGTGATCCCTGCAGGACTCACATGTGCACATCAAGGCGGAGACGGGACACCCCCTCTAGTGAGCCTGGAATTAG